CGAAGCGTGGGGGGGGGGGGGGGGGCGCTCTGATCAGCACCCCATACAAGCGATCCGCCGGCTCTATAGCCATCATATCGCTTGTATGTAAACGGGCATCGTTGCTTGTTTTTAAATTGTGCTTGTTTCCCGTTCGCGCCGTGGGCGGGGCTAACAGGCCCTAAATACACGGCCTGTTACATCCAGGAAGCTCCCAGCCAGCCGGGAGGCGGTTAAATCACTACAAATCACATCAGCATACAGCTCTGCATGCAGATACGAACGTCTCACACTAGTTAAACATATTTTTACAATTACTGTTTTTCCACTTCCTGGACCTCTTGGGAATCGGTGATGTCATGTGCCCAAGCGTTGCATCCTGGGAAGGTGACAACAGCAGGGCATTGCTGGGAAATCCCATCTGTAATCTCACGAGATCTCAGGGAAAGGCATTTTCCTCCCCCTGAGATGATGTGCGTGGTCACATGTCCTAGTCACATGTGCCAGAGTTCCAGGAAGTAAAGAGAAAGCCAGTAATCTGGAGACTGGGGAGGTCCTTGGGGAGGAAAAGAAAAATAGGGAATGTAAAGAATACAAAGCCGGCAATTATCTAGAAGTATCTGAGTGTAGATTGTCATCACTAAGGCCCCATTCACACACGAATCGGCCTGCACGTATAGCTCCGTGCGGGGCCGTACCAAGCAGCTGCCGGGAAGGACAGGTGCCGCGTGTGATTAGTACGCAGCCCCCGTCCTTCTCTATGGGGCTACGCGGCCGTACGCCCCCCTACACTCACCTCATTTGCAGGTCCGTAGGGGTGCGGGTTTTCTGGCCGGGACGCATACAGGATCCATTCCGGCGGCGTATGAATACGATCACCCGCACCCCTACGGACCTGCAAATGAGGTGAGCGTAGGGGGGCGTATGGCCGCGTAGCCCCATAGAGAAGGACGGGGGCTGCGTTCTAATCACACGCAGCACCTGTCCTTCCCGGCAGCTGCCCGATACGACCCCACGCGCAGCAGGGAGCTGTACGTGCCGGACGATTCCCGTGTGTGAATGGGGCCTAAACATTTCTAAAGTTGTGTTTGTTGTTGTTTTGAAGATCTGGGTAACGTTCCTGCTTTATAAATATGCCCCTAAGGCCTTGTTCACACAAAGCGCGGAGCAGATCCGGACCAGAGCAGGTGCAGACCGGATCAAAACTGCGTCCAATGTATTCCTATGGTATTTTGACCTCCAGTTCACATCGGGAAGCTGCGGCAAGCCCTATTTGACCTGCTCTGGATCTGGTCTGGAACACATCAAAAACGCATCAAAAACGCATGCAAGTGCCTGAAAGCCAGTGTGTGTCTGACCCACCAAGGTAAGCAGACCTCTTCATCCCGGTCCCCCATGCCCAATGTCTGGCATGCATTTGGTTTTTGCCTTTATTTGATATTCTAGCCGGCAGAACTTTCAATGATGCGCTCGGCGTTAATGGACGGAATGGAAAATATTAAACGTTGGAACAAAAATAAAACGTTATTTATTCTGCCGACAATAACGCCGCTTCAGCCAACAAATAAAACCTCTCTCCGCGTTTCCGTTCCCCGCACCGAGACGCTGATTAGCTATTCCTCTACGGCCTCCTAATTGCCGAGGCAGGTATGATTCACGCTAATGCCGGGGATGACATCACGGAAATAAAAGCGTCGCCTGAAGTCATCTCAAATCCTTTGATTCGTCCCTTTGAAGTGGACCAGGATGATTAAGATGAAGGAATTTGCTTCAACCAATATTTTCAATTACAGATGCCGTTCCCTTTGTGTGAGCGCAAAACGGACATTTAATAAATAGAGTCTAGGTATGTTCTACGGATATATCGGAGCAGATTAGAGGGACTCGGATTGCCTCGTAAAGGAGGGGGAGGGGCTTTTCACTCACCTCATAGTTCTAGCCGACCTGTGACAATGAGACTGCCACAGGTCGGCTCAGTAGATCGGGAGGTGAGAGAACACATACCGGCGTTCGCTCACTTCTCGATCTATGCCTGCAGAGAGCCGTGACAGGGGAGGGGCTGGATTCCCCCCCTCCGATCCTCCAGTGCTGACTGGCGGATCGGAGGGGGCGGGTACAGCTGGCTCTGCGTCTAGATAGGCCGAGCCAGCTGTCACTCACGCAGCTGGGCGGATCCCGGCACAATTGTATATGAGCTTTGGGTGACGGGAGGACGCTAGTTTGTGTCCCCCCGTTATATCTTATCATATATACTATCTCTTGTGTATTGGATTTGTCATTCGGTGCCAAAAAAAAACAACCCCCCCAACTGTTTCTCTTCTCCATTTGCTACTATTACCTTACCAGGGGTCGGCACCCAACCACTCAGGATCTGTACACCACAATCTACTGTGTTCATTTCAAATGAGTTGATACATATATATATACACGAACACAGCAGAAAAGAGTAAAACAACGGCACGTGCAGGCAGCAGCTGCTGCCAATCTAAAGTGGGCGGGGATGTGGATGTCGGGAAGGACGTCATCCTGTAGTCCTGGGCTCAGGTCGGAAGCGCGCACACAGACACCATGTGACATTCCAGAGAAGAGGCGGTCAGCTGCAAAACGGAAGTTCTGCCCCCAGCATGAGTAGAGATAAGGATTTCAAAGGAAGAGCAGCAAAGAGAAGGGAAACTACCATGGAGTGCAGGAAGGCGCACATTACAGTATTGGTTTATGTTAATAAAATCTGAGGGTTTCATGTCACTTTAAAGGAGAACTATGAGGGGGAGGGGCTTCTCACTCACCTCATAGTTCTAGCCGACCTGTGACAATGAGACTGTCACAGGTCGGCTCAGTAGATCGGGAGGTGAGCGAACACATACCGGCGTTCACTCACTTCTCGATCCTGTCACGGCTCAGCCGTGACAGGGGAGGGGCTGGATTCCCCGCTCCCGGCTCCGATCCTCCAGCGCTGCCTGGCGGAACGGACGGGGGAGGGGGCGGGCACAGCTGGCTCTGCCTCTAGATTGGCAGAGCCAGCTGTCACTCACGCAGCTGGGCGGATCCCGACGTCTATGTCGGGATCCGCTCCGGCGTCTCAGTATACCGCGAGCTGCAGCTCCCTATATACTGAGCTTAGGGTGACGGGAGGACGCTAGTCTGTGTCCTTCCATTACCCTAAGGAGAAGTATGGGGGAAAGGCCTGACGCCATTGTTCTCCTTTAAGGATGCATATATTCCCAAAGCTCGCACCTTTAAAAACAACTCCACCACCCCCCGGCTCCATCATTCTATGCCGACACAAAATTGGCAAACACTCCATGCTGCTGCTCCTTCCTGTGGGGCCCGTAGTAGAGTGAATACACTATTTCTGCGTCTCTATAAGAAGACTCGGTGACTAATGCGAGATTAACCGCTCGGCCACATCCTCCGATCCCGTTACTCTTCTCACTAGATAAAAGTAAGAGCTTTGAAATGACAGAGAATCACTCATAGTGCAGAGACCTGACGGAAGCTGGAGACGGGGCAGATGGTATCTGGAAGAGCAATTACACTGTAGGGGGGGGGGGGAGTTACGGCCG